CCCCTATACCCCCTGTCCCGCCCACCAACAGCAGTGGACTCCTTCCGACCCGGAGGTAGGCCGCGCGCCCGGCCCCGGTGCGCCGCCCGACATCGGTTTGCCTACTTGCCGGGGGACATCCTCCCTTCCTGGAACACACGCGCGCCCGTGTCAGTCGTGTTGTTATTGTGTCTGAGTTCACTTCCACCAGCCCACCGCCTGCTATTCCTCCCTTCCGGACTTCCGGCCTCCCTCCCTGTGCTGCTCCGCGCAGACTCACTGCCAGGACACAATCAGCCCAGCAGTCTGCGGCGCCGATCGCTCGACATCCGTCAGCTTATTCGTCATCGCGTTGCCACTTTTTTATTCGGTTTTCTCTCGAGTGTGGGTGTGTGGAGGAAATTGTATCGGTCGCGTCCGGATCCCAACGCTCCGACACGGTTACTCACTCCGCGGAAGTGTCAAGATTGCGCGAGTACTACTACACGCAGTATCGCCCGAATCCATTCATTCATGCCTTCTTATCACGCCCCCCTCCCCAGGCGCTGCTGCTGCTGGTGCTCGTGTGCGCGGGCGGCGCGCTGGCCGAGTACATGTACCGGCCGCCGCAGCACCTCATGCCGCACCTGGGCGGCGGCATGCACCACCACAAGCACCACCCCTACGCGTCGGGCAAGGCGCCCGGGGGCGGGCCGGGCAAGCACGGTCCGCCGCGCCACCCGCCGCCCCCGAAGTACCACGGCCGCCCCCACCACCGGCCGCGCAAGCCGCCGCCACCACCGCCGTCCCAGCTGGCCGCCGCCAGCCCCTGGAAGAACTCGCCCTACAAGACGACCAAGGTGAGTGTATCGCGGCAGGGGTTGAAAGGGGGTCGGTGTCAGATTTTTAATTGACTTTCGCTTAAGATTTTAATTTTTTACAACGGAAAAAAAATATGACCTAACCCATCCGCCCCGTCTCAGGACCCCTTCCGAACGCACGGCTCGGACGCTGACTTCGGCAACCAGGCGTCGGTGCTGTCCGCCATCACCCCGCTCACCTCCATCACCAGCAGCTCCCTGGGCGCCTCCCTGAGCAGCAGCCCGCTCGTGAGCGCGCACAGCTCCAGGCCGAGCGCGCACGCCGTGCACGCCAGCCCGCCGCACGCCCTGCACACGTACACCAACATCGTCAGCGACGACCACGGCCCCATCCACACCATCCCCGCGCCCAACCTCGGGCCCTCCGACAAGCCCAGCCACATGAACGAGTACGCGACCCGCATTGATGATTGGCAAGCGAGGGGTACTTCACTATAAATTCAAGAGTCCACGAATTTGTCTGATTTCTCTTGATTTATTTCTCGATTTTTTGCCGATTTTTTTAATACCGTTTCTGATTTTTTGCCGATTTTTTTTTGAGGCTGTGCACTTTTGTTTTGAGTGAAGTACCCCTTGATGGCAAACCCCGTGCGTGTAGGCAACCCGCACTCACGGGTGCGAACCGCCCTGCACAATATTGGGTGCCGACCGCTGTGCCGCCGGCATTGCTGTTTGGTGTGTAGTGTTTTCGTTACCCAGCGCCTCTGTGTTCTCCGTCAGGTACTCGTCGTACGGCGGCAGTTCGCTGGAGCAGCACGCCGCCGCACAGCAGGCCGCCGTGCAGCACGCCGTGCAGCGGCAGGCCATCCAGTCCGCGCTGCACCAGCTGCACGCCGCGCAGGCCGCGCGCCCCTCCGGCCCCACCACCGCCGCGCCCGCCGTGCTGCACTACACCCAGGGCTATCAGGTCAGAGCCCCGCGCCGCGCCCGGCCCCGCCGGCCCCGCCGAGCAGACCTGCCCAGTACAGGCGGCCCTGCCGAGGAATCCCCGCGAGTGGTCTCCCGACCCGGGCCGTGCACTGCAAACATAAGCACCCCCCTCCCCACCTCTCCCTTCGCTTTGGCCACTTGCTCAGCATACTGATGCGCTGCTCGTTTTGTTGTATGTAGGTCTCCGAGCCCCCGGCGGCCGGCGGTCAGCACGAGGGCGTCGCGATGCTCTACGCCCCCGACCCGGACCCGAGCCGGCCGGCGCCCAGGGTCAGGCCCACCACGGACCCGCACTCGCTGCCCAGCGAGGGTCGCGGCCCGCACTTCAGGTCGGCACGTCAGCACCGCGTCAGCTCCGCCCGCTATCGGTTGCATTTCATCAACTTTGACTCGACTCGCTTGAATGAACTGGGGGATCGGGGGATGCGTCAAACCAAACAACGATCATTCAGACTACAATGTCTCTGTTCGTGTGGACCCGCATTGCAGATCGGGCGAGTAAAACAGGGCCCCTTCACTTTGTTGCAGCATCGACCCCCAGTACGCCGTCTCCTCTCAGCCGAGCTACATGTCGGTGGGCCCCACCCTGTCACACCAGGACCTGTTCCACCTGCTCAACGGGTTCCCGCTGCAGGGGTTGCAGGGGCTGCAAGGGCTGCAGGGGCTGCCGCAGGACGTCCAACCGCAGATCCACATCATGCACCCCGGTCAGTAAGCCCCCCCCCCCCTTTTCCCTTTCTCTCCGTTTCTCGCTGGCCACCGACCGCGCGGTCAAGTGACGCTCACCAATACCGTCTCTCTCGCCCGCAGGCCACTCCGGCGACACTCTGACCGCAGACCACCAACACCTCGTCCTGCAACAGCAGCAGCAGCACCTGCAGCACCTGCAGCAGCAGCACCTCCAGCAGCAGCTGCAGGCGCAGGTGCAGGCGCAGGCCCAGCACCTGCACCAGCACCTGCAGCCCTCCGATTTCCACCCGCAGTACCAGAGCTTCGACTTTGACGAGCAGTCCTACCAGAAAAGTATCCAGGACCACGAGGTCTCCGAAGACGCCCCCAGGTAAGAAGAGGGCCATCCCTCGTCAGTCTGCTCGCCCGTCTTTCCTCCCGCGCTACTTGGCACTTGGAACCGTTTGAGTGGCTGCGTCCGTCTCTCATTTTTCTGCCGCGTGAACCGAGGACCAAAGATGGACGCAACGCATGCGGCACGTACGCAGCCTTTGCCCCCCCCCCCCCTTCCTCTTCACTATCTATATCGTCTCCACCCCTCTCTCCCTCGCTCTCTTTCTCCTTCCCTCCCCCCCCCCCCATTCTCTCTCTCTCTCTCTCCATCTCACTCACTCACTCGCCCGCTCTCCCGCGCGGCGCCTGTGGCATAGCTCAAACCGCATTGCCATCTCTGGACAGAGCGAGAGAGGGGCAGAAAACTTTCAACGCGCACCGTCCGGAGCCTTCTCTAGCAGCTCGCGCGCCGCGCAGCTGAACCAAAGGCATAACGACCACCCGTTTGTTCCAGGCCCAGCGTGCAGCGGCCGGACTCTCCCGTGGCGCAGGTCAGTAACGACACACGGGAGGCCCAACCCACGGAAATACACAGGAAAAAAGATGAGCTACATAGCTAAACCAATAGCTAAAAAGTGTGTATCAATGTAGCTATACATCGAAAAGTTTAGCTACTTAGCTTTACAAAAAATGCTGATTTTTTAACTACAATTTTTAGCAACAATTAGTAATACCGTATTTAGCTATTGGTTTAGTTAATTTTCCGTGTAAATGGCGAGAGCGCAGCGCTTGATGGCCTCCTCGTCCTCTTGCAGGAGCACTCGGCATCGGCCTCCACGGTGTCGCTGTTCACGGTGCCGGCGCCGCAGCCCACGAGCAGCTCGCCGGTCCGCGGCGACATGCGCTCCGAGGACGACGCGGACGCCGGGCACGAGAGTGACGAAGAGGACGACGACGAGGAGGAGTACGACGACGGCCCGGCGCCGAGCAGATCCTCGTCGACGACCCTGTCGGGAGCCTCGGTGACGCCCAGCCCACAAGCCGCCAGCAGCCCAGAGGTACGTACTACTTTGCCAACAGATTAAACGAACCGAGAAGTTCGTATGGAGGCTTCCAGTGGTAACAAAACCCTATTTTCTATGTTCCAGGATGACCCCGAATCCCTCCAGCAGACTGTGATCCGCGAGGACGCCGACACGTACTCGTCGGACCCCAGCCTGGTCACGCCCTTCAGGAGGCAACCCAACTCCGTGCACGTGCCCGAGGCCAAGCCTGGACGTTTGCCGTACGGCGCGAGAATTAGACCGAAGAGGATCGCCATAGAATAGGGGCTGGCAACCGTGGATGGGGGTGTAAAAGTGTAGGGTGTTCCGCTAGATCCTTTCCAACTTCTACTTTCTTTGTTTTGTTCTTCGAACTTTCGGCCCCGGATCTGGTGGAACACCC